TTGGCTTTACCAAACTATTTTGTGCTTTAAAAGCTCATCGCTCTCTCTCTCTCTATATCTCATTTTAATCATAATTAAGTGGTAAATCAATGACCATTAGCTTCTCATTTATGTGAGTGAGAAAGCCCTTGTGATTAGAGCCATCTGTGCAAATCATGCATGGGACAAAACTAAGTCCCTAAAAGGTTCGCCTATGTGACTTGGGCACAAAGGGTTTGATCATTGGCTTCCCATTGGTTACTTGCAATTTTATTTGCTGTAGTTTAGAGCTATTTAATGTTTTGTGCTATGAGGAATTGAGCATATCATAGTTAGAACATGTTTGTCTTTATGTCTATTTAGCCTATTCCTTAATGTCATGATAAATTTATGGCCATAGGCCATGCAAGTTGAATTCGAATTTTGGCTTACCATAATCAAGTCAATTAGTCATATGTAAGTTTTTGTTTGATGGAGAAGGAAATTGGTCTTGAAGTGTTTGATGTAATTCAAAAGTGATGAGAAATTTGAGAATATATCGTGTATAGTGTTGTAAATATGAGTACTTGAGTACTTGCTTGAGTATAATCTTCTATTTATTTAGTCTCCTCTCTGTATCTTAAATTTGGGCTTTAACAAGAGACCAACTAGAGTTGTATTTTTATTTTCAAATGAGTATGAAGCTAGATTTGGTGGCTGAAACTTATGTACTTTTTTCAATTTATATGAAAAATTTATGTTCTTTTGGAGCTTTTATGTTTTATAATGGCAATTTTTTTTTTTTTTTTTATCAAACATGTTACTTTAACGTGGCTAAGTACTCAAACACCAATAAGATATAAGATGAGAGAAAGTAGACTTAGGTAGGCTGGCTAAGTGCAGCATAGACCCAGTACAACACCTGTTAGGACGTGCAAGTTAGTTCAAATGGAAGGCTAAGAAAGGGCATGGTATTGGCCCAAAAAGATATGGTTGGAAATAGTAAGAAAATATCTGGGGACATATGGCCTCATTGAAGGTATGGTACTTAATAGAGTAAAATAGCAGACTAGTATTCGCATAGACGACCCCAATTAATTAGGAAAAGGCTCTGGTGATGAAGATTATAATATTAGTTATTATATAAATTTTTTAGTATTATATAATATTACAATATAATATGATATTATAATATAATTTCCTATCATCATATAATGTTATAATACCATGTAATATTGCATTATTATAATTTAGTTATAGGTAATAATTATATACAATATAATAATTTATATAATATAATGTTGTAATCATTATCTTCATCGTCATCATCATCATCATCATTCTAGAATTTTTCAAATTAATTGGGGTCAGCTACATGAATCCTGATTCTCCATTCTGCTCTATTAAAGGCCATATCCTCAATGGGGCCACAAGTCCCCATATATTTTTGGACTACTTCCAACCACGTCCTTTTGGGCCTATTCCTTGTCCTTTTCAGTCCTTTTACTTGAGCTAATTCGCACCTCCTAACAGGTGCTGTACTTGGTCGATGCCACATATGGCCAACCCACTAAGTCTACTCTCTCTCATTTTATCGCCTATTAGTGCCACACTTAAATTCTCTCGAATAGATTCATTACGAATTCTATCCCTTGTCTTTCCATTCATCCATCTCAACATCATCATCTCTGTTACACTCATTCTATGGGTATATTGTTTTTTGGCCGCTCAACATTCCGCCCCATAGAGCAAAGTTGATCTCACTGCTGTCCTATAAAACGTGCCCTTCAGCTTCATTGATATGCGGCGATCACATAAAATTTCAGTTGCACATCTCCACTTCGTCTACGCATCTCTAATTCTGTGTGCGACATCTTCCTCGATCTCTCCATTTTTCTAGATTATCGACCCAAGATATGAAAAGTGCGATCTGTTTTGTACTTCTTGACCATCAATCTTAACTATTTCCTCGTCTCTACTCCTATTGCTACTAAATTTGCACTCCATATACTCTGTCTTAGTCCGACTAATTTTAAAACCTTTGGATTTTAGAGCATCACTCCAAAGTTCTAACTTTGTATTGACGTCGTTTCAGGTCTCATCAGTGAAAACTATATCATCTACAAACAATATGCACCACGGTACCTCATCCTATGGGTGCTTAATTAAGTCATTCATAAGTAAGACAAAGAGGTGCGGGCTCAATGCTGACCCTTGATGTAGACCTATTGTCACTAAAAACTCACTTGTCTCTCTACTAGTTGTTCGTATATTAGTAACCGCTCCATCATACATATCTCTCACCATGTCGATGTAGTGTCTAAAGACACCTTTCTTTTCCAACACCGGCCAAATCAAATATCAAGGTACTCTATCATAAGCTTTCTCTAGATCAATAAAGACCATATGGAGGTCTTTTCACTTCGCCCTAAACTTCTCAATCAGTTGCTTAAGTAGGAAAATAGCCTCAGTTGTTGACCTTCCTAGCATAAAACCAAATTGGTTTTTAGATACACTCGTTTTATGCCTTAGTTGTTGCTTAATGACTCTTTCTCAGAGCTTCATAGTATGGCTCATAAGTTTGATCCCTTGGTAGTTTGCACAATTATGTATGCTCCTTTGTTCTTATAAATAGGTACCACAATACTTTTTCTCCATTCGTCTGGTGTTTTCATTGTTCTCAACACCTTGTTAAACAACTTTGTCAGCCAGTCAATGCCAATTTCCCCCCATGCACTTGCAAACATCTATTGGGATACTATCTAGTCCTAAAGCCTTTCCTATCTTCATCATCCTTGTCAAAGCTTCTTTCACTTCGGACATCCTAATCCTACGAGTGTATCTATGACCTACGCCATCACTTGTACCAGCAGTCCCCTCTACCACTATGTTCCCATTTTATTCGTCATTGAATAATTTTTGAAAATAGACTCTTCACCTTTTGTTGACCTCCTCATCTTTTACCATGACACTTTGATCCTCACTCTTAATGCATTTAATATGGTTTAGATCCTTATACTTTTTCTCTCTTATTTTTGCTAATTGAAAGATATTTTTTTCACCTTGTCTTGTTCCCAGTTTATTGTATAGATTATCATGTGCCTTAAGTTTAGTTTTACTTACTATTTGTTTAGAATTTTTCTCTGCATTTTTATATTCTTCTAAGTTTTGATCATTTCTATTACATTGCCAAGTTTTATAACATGATCGTTTTTTCTAATGGCCTTCATAACCTTATCATTCCACCACTAAGTTTCTTTATCAAAGTTTCTTTTCCCTCTTGATTCTTCTAAAACTTCGTTTGCCACTTTCGTGATACATTCAGCCATCTCATTCTATATTACATTAACATCATGTTCAAAGTGCCATTTTCCTTCTTGAACTAATTTATCCCTAAATAAGTCGATTTTCTCATTTTTTAAATTCCACCAAGTAGTTCTTGGATGCCCGTTACTTTCACCCCTTCTCCTCCATGTATTTATGCAGACGTCTATGACCACGAGCCTATGTTGGATAGTCAAACTCTCTCCTGGGATAACTTTGCAGTCTTTACATGATGGTCGATCTACCTTCTTAACTAAGAAGTGGTCTATTTGGCTTTTATGTGTTCCACTTTTGTAGGTTATTAAATGTTGGTCTCGCTTTTTAAAGCAAGTGTTTGCTATTGCTAGGTTGTAGGCTATAGCAAAATCTAGAATAGTCTCACCCATCTCATTTCTTTCCCCAAACCCATATCCCCCATGTACCCCTTCGTATCCTCTACTATCCTTGCCTACATGACCATTTAAGTCCCCACCTAAAAGGGTCTTCTCTCCATTTGATATGTCTTGGAGTATTCCTCCCAAAATTGTCTCTTAATTCTGTCATTCAATACTTGTAGTGCTTAAGTGCTAATTACGTTAATGATCTCTTCTCCTAATACAAGTTTAATTAATAAGAGCATATCACCTATTCTTTTGACATTAACTATTTTATCTTTTAAATCTTTATCTAGTATTATACCTGCGCTATTTCTATTATTATGCTTTCCTGTATATCATAGTTTTTCCCATCTATTTCTTTAACTTTTTCTCCTTTCCATTTAGTTTCTTGTAGGCAAGCTATATTTACTCTCCTTCATCTCATTGTATCCACTAACTCCATGCTCTTATATGTAAGCGTTCCTACGTTTTATGTGGCTAAAAGAATCCTATTCTCTTGGACTAACTTCTTTATCCGCACTTGTCCAGGGTGTCGTGGGAACCTTTGCCTATTTTTCACAGCATAAAAATATTATATAACATTATATTATATAATTTCCAGGCATTCTGAACTGTGGACATGTGTCTTCCAAGTCTCTTACCAGATGATATCCAAACAACAAACATATTTATTCTAGGAGATGCCAATTTTAGGAGAGGCATCTCCCCAAGATACCCATTTCCGAGGAACCCAATCGGGCCTTGAGTAAACTCTGTAAAGATTTGAACAAAACTTGAAATCATTCTCTATAGATGTTGTATATATGTGGTTTCTATTCAGATGATGTACATTTATGAGCGATTAGATTGCCATAGAACAGAGTGAAGCCCAAATTCATTGGAATATGCTATTTTACAAAGACATGAATATTTGTCTCAGCTTGCAACACAGATACATGCATCATAAGTGCGAACCCTAAAGGTTGACCTTTCTGATAACACAATTTACGTCGTTTAGAGTGGGAGGGAGGTGGGACTTTAAGTAGCATTAATTACTTAGATAGTGACATTTTATTAAAAAAGGAGTTGAGCAGAAGTGTCTAAGTTTTTGAGATGGTGCACATGTTTCTTGTGTCCTTAGCTCTTGTGCCAAGAATCATGGACACACATCTTCAAATTAACTTTAATATATAACATCCTCTTCTTCCTTTTTACTGTTTGATGAACTTTGTAATCATAGAGAAATGCTTTCTTGCACTCTTTATTGGTGCATTATCGTTTGGATACTAACCATGTAGTTCTTTGATTTGCTTACCTATTGAATGCCAAATGCTGATTACATGTTTTTCATTTAATTTGAAGGCTCGTATTGCCAGGCATTTGAGTCAAGAAGCACGTGGATGCAAGTATTTGGTGTTGTGGCTAGATTGTGATCGAGAGGGAGAAAACATATGCTTTGAAGGTGTTTATTTCTCTTTTGTATCTCTGATGTATAGCAAATATTTTATTTTCTTGCTCAGTTTGTGTGTTCTTTAACCTATTGAAGTTTAAAATATTTAAACTGTTCATGGTGAGAAGTAATTCGACTATTGAGTTTGTGAGAGTATAGAAACCAAATCTCTTGCACTTGGAGTACAATAGAGACAAAAACAAGACAATACCCCTTAAAATTTATACAATACACTTGAGATTCTTCTTGCAAAATGAAATTATAGGAAGGTCACTTTGACTATAGTGAATGATTGACTTCAAAAAACACTCAAAATTAGATGATACAACTCAATTAGGGTCCCTTTCTATGAGCAAAACAAACTACGCAAGGAAATCATCAAACTACATATGTATAGGGTGTTTTTAAAAATTCTGCATCACTCAAAATTACAAGGCAAAATTATACATCAATCAACTCCATAAAACTCAACAGGACATGATCTCCAACATAACAATATACATGTACTCAGGATACAAGGCATCGTGACCATGGGAAGCCAATCGAAGCTCTCGGGTGCTCAGTTTATGGTCTTGGGCTTTTGCTATGTGCTATTGGGTGACATGTGATGGCATAACTCAAAATTCGGTCAAATTCATCATCTCAAGAGTGGGAAGCTCAGCCTCTATTGATATATACTTAAAACATGAAAGGATTTGCAGGGATCTAAAGATCAAATCATGTAGGAAATTCGTGGGAGAAAACAAGGCTCTTAAACACAAAACCAAGTCAATTGTGTTCACAAATTGAGCAATACAAATTCGGGATAATCTTCGCTTATAAAAACAACAATTCATGAGATCAAAATGATGATCTAATTGATTGATTTGGTCATGAAAATATCAGAGAAATGTCAGTAAAAAATACTTCAAAAGTCAAAGGGTAAAGCTCTTGGAAGCGAGATCAAATTATGCATGGATAAATGATCTAATCATCAAAGGATGAAGATAAGTTGCTGTAATACAGCAAGAAGAATCAAAGAAAATGAAAGAGATCTTACTCAATTGTTGAAGGCTTCAAGACTAGATCATCCATGACTTGAATTTAAGCTTTGAATCACCACTAATGGAGTTTTGAAGGAGCTTCAATGGAACTTTCTCTCACCTTATAACATGAGGGCAGTTTTCTATAGAGAAAAAAGAAGAGAAGTGACTTGGGCATTCACTCTATGAGTAAATAGAGAGAGAGAGAGAGTGGCATGCCACTTAGAGAGAGTATGTGAACTCTTACAAAAAATGAAGGCTCAAGGGGGTATTTATAGGCTTCTAGATTGATGAATCTTGGCCATCCATGTCATTATCCAATGTCTATAAAGAGAGGCTTGATCCTAGCCCCCCATCCACCATCAAAATGTTATAGATTTAAACATCTTTATCCTCCTTTGATACACTTCAATTTCTCTGGTTATTAAAATACCCAATGTTCTTTACATTTAATTAAACCAAAAACCAAGATAGAGGGTGTGCCCCTATGGTAATTTGACAAAATTCCAGCAAAAAGCAAATCTCAAAAGGTCCATCCATTTTCTAAGAGCATGTGGGGCTAATGAAATCATGCCACATAAGTTAGGTGGTTAATTACGTATTTACCATATACCCTTAGGGCTTGTAATTACAAACCCTAGACCCTTCTAGAAACCTTCACGCATGTGCACAAACCCCTTGCTTCAAGCTTTAAACATGTGCTAAAATATTTATTTCAAAACCACAATATTTTATAAAATTCTAAAATTCAATGCCCTTTACTTAATCAATCAAAATGCAAAAGGACATGGGGGTCTCCTGTTGATGTCACCCGCATGTCATCCTCCACGTGGGGTAGCGTGGGACCGCTTAGGCCTCTATGTGGACGCCCATTGGCCATTTGGGTGTCTTGTGTGGGTCCCAGGGGACTGTCCTTATTTGTCATTTCTTGTAAACAATCCTGAAAAATGCATTTTTTAGCTCATACAAATCCAAAAAAATTCCCAAAAGTCCACAAAAATCATTTCCATGATTTTTCTTCAATATAAATCATTTTGACATTGTTTAAAAATAATTACAAGGGAAATTAGGATCTTTGGAGTTGAATTATAAATTGAAGTACTTCACTTAGTGAGCCCCGAAATCCAAAGCCACCGTCTCAATATGCCGAATATATTTCTAACCCACAATGTATAATCAGGGGGCTCATGATCTTGGCATATGAAAGTCAAACCAATGAGTGACCTTGAATACCCAAGTATTAGTAGATTTCAAGTGCACCACCTAGAGGACATGCTCATACATGGTGTGGGGGTTCCTCTCTTAGCACATGTGCATACCTCTTACCAATGGATCCGTAGAAGAGTGGCTTCCCATTCATTGCGACTGTATATGCGCATGCTACGAGAAGGTTCTTAAGAGTCAGAGATTTAAGCCAGTGCGCTCTATTGGCCAACCTTCCTATATAGGGCTATTGTATCATTGAGCTCATATCACAAAATCACATAAATCGTATTGCTCTGACTGATTACTTAGTCATGATGCACAAATATAATAACAGACCCTAATAAGAGGTAACCCTCAACCCTCTCGGTGCCTCTCATGCATATAAATCCTCCTCATGACTCACTCATCGATCCATGACTCTTGGTCCCTGTGCGTCAAGATCTTAAGAGTCATGTCGCTCTTTTACTTCCACTGAAGTTAAGAGCTATTGAAAATGTCGGAATGCGTTGGAAGGATATAATTCCAACTGAGTTTTCAATCTGAGAGTGTTTCATTTTATTTTTGTACTAGGAGGTTTAGTATCTAATAGTGCTAGCAAAAGCAAAGTAATGACATACTTAGACTCTATTTTACGCCCAAAATCTGAGACTAAAATATTATTCTGCCAGAAATTGGTTTTTCTATTTTACTTCCAAAATGTAGATATTATATTTGCCCCAACAAGGTAAAAAAACAGTGTCCATAACAAGTCTTTCCTGATGGTGCTGAAATTTTAATTAAAACAGGTCTATAACCCTCTAGCACCCGAACATAAAGGACCATGCTCTCTCTCTCTCCATATGTATATATTCCCTCTTTGCCCTCAATGTTCTCACTTTTCTCCTCTCTCTTTGTCTACCATATGTTTTGCCCGTATTCCACTCTCTCTCAGCCGATACCACACTATCTAGTCTCTCTCTCAAAACCCTAGTTCTCTCACATCCAATTACCATTCTCTCTCCCTCTCTTTCTTTTTCTCTCTCTACCGTGTCTACACCCTTCACAAAACCAATATCCACTCTCAAAACCCTCTCTCAGCTCCGAATACTATTCTCTTTCTCTCTCTCGTGTTTTCTCTGTCTCTCTGTCTCTCTACGTTGTTTATATAAAACCAATATCCCTTATTCTCTTCTTACTCTCACCCTCATGGTACCTACCAATCCATCATTTTCCTTCATTTTCGCCTCTCTCTTGTACTGTTTTTCGTTATAGAGCCGTGCTCTTGGGTGCTGAGACCATGGGGTGCATTCAGCTCAGTAACCGTAATCCCTTGTTTTCTTCCCTAGTTTTAGTGGGGTTTAAGCAGAGGAGTTATGGGGAAAGCAAAATGAATAGGGCATCGAAGAAGGGGCTGGGTTCAAAGGGTGAGCTGCTTCTCTTTTTCTCTATTGGAATCTGCAAGGATCAAGGGGGTAGATGTTGGCGATAGGAGAAACAATGAATAGTTTGTGTTTCATGCCATGATGGTCTCATCCATGTCCTCTTCCCTAGGGAGTAACTCCTCTGTGACCAAGTATTTTTGAAGCTCTCTCCCTACCTGATGCAGGGAGAATAGGTGGGAAATTGAATCCATCGTTCACCTGAATCTTAAACAAGTAAAATCAGCAAGAAGAGAGAAAGAACATGACTGTAAATCAAGTCAAGAGAAGATGACTTTCTTCTTTCATAAAATAAAATTTATTCCAAAATAACATCTCCTCGCAAACTATGACATCCAACCTTTTATAAGCCTATAAAACCCTAATTTAACTTGAGATCCAAGTAAATATTAACATTCTAAAATACCCCTAAAACAATACCGAAATTCAAAAAATAACCGTGTGAACAGTAACTGGTTAATGCCTACGTTCAGGAACACCAGGAGCATAATGCCTACGTTCAGGAATCCACTTCTTTGCAACATTTTCGTAGCTGGCTTTGCTGTTAAGAGAAAAGGCCAGAAGAAACACATCTGCTCCTCGATAGCTCATGGTCTCAACCTGTTGTAATCCTCCTGACCAGCCGTATTCCACAATCTAAGGTTCACAGTGTTCCCATACACAACAACATTCGCACTAAAGTTAGGGTATTCAAGATTTCGGTCAAGATTCCGGCCAAAATGCTTCCGGTGAAGTTTGGGGTAGAGATTTGGGGTGGCAATTTGAAGGAATGAAGTTTGGGGTCAAGATTTGAAGGGATGAAGGGCTTGTGGAACAGAGCAAAAGCAAGATGCTTTAGACGTGCGGCTCTCCAATCGAGAGAGAGAGAGAGAGCAGTGTATAGGAGAGAGGAAGCAAGGGAGGGTATAGTTTTCTTTTGGGGTAGAGTAGCAAGGGAGGGTATAGTTTTCTGGCCAAAATTTGGGGTAGAGTAGCAAGGGAGGGTATAGTTTTCCGATGAGTAGGTACTGGGGGAGGTGAAGTTTTTTGGCAAGCAGGTGAGGAGGGAGATGGACTGGGTGGTTGAAGCAACTTCATCATTCCTCTCCAACTCTGGGCCGGACTCTGATTCGTACGATTCTCCATAAAAATCCTCACGATTTGGATCTATCCCTGTAGATTCCTCTTCGTTTAGGGCACGCTGTTGCTGGGACCGTTTGCGCAGCAATAGCTCTGTAACCTTCTCCATCAAGTTGTTGATTTTCTTGTGCAGTTGAATCAAATCGGCATCCCTATGGCTAAGACCTCCACAACAAGCCATCGCAATCTCTAGCCGTCCTCGAACCCTGCTCTGATACCACTTGATGCAGGGAGAATAGGTGAAAAATTGAATCCAAAGTTCTCCTAAATCTTAAATAAGTAAAATCAGCAAGAAGAGAGAAAGAACATGGCTGTAAATCAAGCCAGATGACTAAACCAATGGACCTAACAGGAGAAAAAAAACTAGGAAGAGCTTATTAGGAGAGATAGAATCCAAAACTAGGGAATCTCTGAGAATGGTTTTTCCAGATGATCCAACAATAGAAATTTATATCTTTCAGGTCGCATCCAAATGCTATCCAAACAGCAATAACCCACTTTTAGGAAATGCTTTTTTGCAAAAAAAGAATGTTACAGGAAATAATTTTTTTTCCAGACGATGTTTTTCTTGGGATTAGAGCAGACCATATGATTTTGAACTAGGCCAGTGAGCTAAGTCAGCATGGAGGTGTTTCTATTCTGCTTGACTAGCTCATATGTTTGTATATTTGTATGCATCAATTATATTAGATTCACACATTGTTAAAGTCGTTCTTTATGTAAGAGTTTAAGCTGTTGTAATTTCATGAAAATCCCTCTTTTAGAATAGCGATGATCTCTCTCTCTCTCTCCATTTGATATCTCGCTTTGTGCTTGTCCACTTTCTATCTTTCCCTTTTGCTGTTTGTTTTTTCTTTCTGGTCAAGATTGTAGCATTGAAATGAATTGTAGGATTTAACCACTGTTCTTTTGGGGGAACTGAGGTAAAGAAGATATTTGTCCTGAATTTCTCCAAAAGATTAAATTGATTGAAACAACTTCGTAAAGTTAGCAATACCTTTATTGGTTTTGTTGTTAAATAACATAAAAATCAGTTGGCAAATACTTTTTTTTTTTATGGTTATATGGACATGAATAAAATCTTCTTATAGGGATATAAGTGGTCTACTTTATATGTTTTGGTTGTGATTTTATGCCTGCTTGTCTGGAAATCTTCAATGTTATTTTGTTGTTTCTTATTATGTAGTTAATGGTCCGCTTGAGATGCTGAGAAGATTCCGTAGTAGATTTAGTAATTTCTAACATTAAAAAAAAAAAGAAAACAAAAGAAAGAAAAAAGTAAACTAAATCTTGAAATGCTATTTCTACAGTTATTGAGTGTACTGGTATTCATCCGATGGATGGTGGAAGAAGGGTATACCGTGCTCGTTTTTCTTCTGTTACTGAGAGTGACATTAGGAAGGCCATGCAGAATCTTGTTGAACCTAATAAGAATGAAGCATTGGCTGTGGATGCCCGTCAAGAGATTGACTTGAAAGTTGGAGTTGCTTTTACACGCTTTCAAACTCGATATTTCCAAGGAAAATATGGCAACCTTGATTCTAGTGTTATCTCGTACGTTCCAATATTTTACATCCTGTCTCCCACTCAACAAACCTTTCTGATTGTTGCTTATTTGTGTTACATTGCTTAATGGCCCAAACATGTTTTGATTGGCTTCACATCTTGGTACATGCCTTCTATTGATGTCAAATTAATTTCAGCATCAGTGCGTGTTATTTTTGGTTATTATGTCTATGACTTCTATTGCATCTATTGTGTAAGCTTGTTGAAATCCTTGCTTGAGGATTAGTGCAAATTTCTGTGTGCTTTGGGATCGAAATTAAAAGAGATTTGTGTTTTAAATTTTATACGAAGTCCACAATGTGCTTACTAATCAAACGTGTAGATGAAGTTCACGTTTGTGCAACTTGTCACATTGAATCCTATTGTTGTGTTCATGGCTCTTGTATATTTTTTATCTCACATACATATACATATAAATGTGCACATTCATACATATGCCTACATACACATTCTATTTTTTATCCATGTAGTACCAATTTAAGACAATGTCTTATTTCTTTTATTTTTCCCAACATTCATATTGACAATGGTGTATTCAATCGATATAATTCGATCTTAGATAAACAGATCTGTTTCCTCCGGTCCATAAGTTTAGTTTGATCCTTTACTTTACTCAAACAATCAAACGCAAGAAATATCTTTTATTTTTAATGGAATTGATTTTCAACATATCAAGAAATATTAATAAAATGAATATTTTGAATTCAAATAAAAAAATCTAAAAATAAAAATAGAATAAGAATCTAATACATAATTGAAATATTGAATTGAATTATTTTATTTGGATATTCTATTCAATTTATTTATTCAATTTGTATATGTGTTTGTGTGTGCGTGTGTCTATTAAAAAAGGTGTGGTTTGCATACAGTTGCAATCTTAATCAAAGTAAGATGCACCTCCAAACTTTGTCATGAGAAGCAATTTCAGTGTTGAAAGTTCTTAGGATGGTGCAAGAATCTATTCTTCTCTTTGATTATAAAATTTTAAACCCAAAAAATGGTTTAAATCAAGCAGATTTATAAACACATGAAAATCTTGGAAATGGACGGCCATGCAAGATGTACTATATTTAGGATTTGAAATGTCTTTTTTTCTCCATATATATACATCTTGATCTCAAGATGGTCAATCAGATGTTTTTCCAACATCAAAATAGCCTTTTTCGAAGGATTTTAGAAGGGCATCTTAATTTTACATTTTAAGCCATTCTAAACTTTTTCCATTAGAAAATGAAGCCATTCTAATCAAAACTTAGTAATAAATTGTAAAAACATAAACCTCTGGCATGTAAATTTATTTGGTGTTTTTTCAATGTTCCGTTCTAATCAACACTTAGTAACAAACTGGAAGAACATAAATCTTTGGCATGTAAATTTATTTGGTGTTTATTCAATGTTTTAATCCTTTTCGAGGAAAACTTTCTAGATCCTTGAAACCACATTTAACATTTTTCTTTTCTCATATTTGTTTTTCTGCATTTGTTTAAAATGAAAGTTGGACAAGGTGATCTAGCATGGTGTATATGGTTTTTAATTTTTTTTATTTCTCACCGATTAGAACACCTACAAAGGTCCAAATACAATAAAACTCTCTTGAAATAAACAAATAAATAATCAAAAGTGGTTCTCACTTGTTGCCACTAATTGCAACTTCTTTTATTCAATTAGTAAAACAACACAATGCTTATGGGAATAAGAAAGCATAAGAAATAAAATACTGCATTCCACAAAGGAAGATGCCAGAAGATTACCTCAACTGGACTTAGCACACCCCACACCGGGTCTCCTCCTTTAATGGCGCACGTGATCAATGGTCTTTCTCAGATCTTTGAAGCATGTGAAAGCTTTAGAGAATGTATATGTGGGGCGCGCCCCCTCTTTACTCGTAACTTGGGCATGCCCCTATTTCTAACTCAAGAAATATTTTTCTAAGGGAGAGAGAGATCTAAGAGAGAAGATAGAGAGAGATGAGAGGTGTAGAGATTTATGGGAGAGAGGGCCCCTATTATATAGTTTTCAAGGGTTAGAGTTTCCTGGGCAACTCTGACCTCATCAAGGAATGACTCATAAAACTCTCATCGGTTTAATTCCATGCCCATGTCATAGGGGTTTTCTAGCTTGACTGGCCTAGCACGTCAAGCCAAGTCTGAGTATCGACGAATAACATTTACCTATCATGGTCCACAAAGGACTACACTCCTGTAGAGTTTATGTTCCGCTGTATTAGGATATTAGTTACAGTCTCTCAATGGCCACAGAAACCCAACATAAAAGGACTACTGAGCATTTTTGTTTTTCATCGCAAGCGTTGTTTCTCTAATTTTATTGTTGCTCGAAATCAACATAAGCGTTACATTCGAAATGAAATAACAAGGGTTACTCTCCTTGGTCTATAGATATGAAGAAGTAATTAAAAACCCGTAATCTCTCCAGGAACAGGCTAGGACCTGGAGTGAGTCAAATCCCCAAGTCTCAAGTTGTCTCTACATGTTTTATATCTGAAAAATAACGTTTTTTAAAGGACATTCGGTTGTTTTATGAGACTCAGATAGGTTTGGTCAAATTTAGATCCGACTCAGTTGGTGTGACTCGGGGTCACAAGGAGGGAAAAGTCCTAGTTCTGAGTGACTTGGGTGAATCCAAGACAGACTCACTGAGTTTTTAATAATGGAAAGTGCCTTCGAAATTGTGTTGATGAACAACTATTGAACCTGTCAAACAAGGACTGATTGGCACTGGTATATCAAAAACTGAAAAATAATGGATTGTTAATATTTTTAAGGTCGTTACATGGATTTCTATTTCTAGTGTCCATATTGAGCCCTATATGACTAGTTATTATCAATTGGAACATGACTTGAAGATGGCCCCGCAAAAGAATGCCTAGTAGTGGTTAGAATGTCTATCGGTGACTGTACTCATGACTGAAAAATAATGGATTGTTAATATTTTTAAGGTCGTTGCATGGATTTCTATTTCTAGTGTCCATATTGAGCCCAATATGAGTAGTTATTAACAATTGGAACATGACTTGAAGATGGCCCCGCAAAAGAATGCCCTATTAGTGGTAAGAATGTCTTTTGGTGACTGTACTTTACGCTTCATTAATATGTGATGAAATGTCACCATTACCTTTTCTTTCTGAAGGCAAAATCTTTGAAGAATTGTGGAGCTAGTAAAGGCTAGTCCATACACTATTGGTCTACTGTTAGACCCCTTTTCTTAGCATCATTGGGACTGGTTATATAGGGTGTGCGCAACCTCCTTTAGCTATGGATTGTACAAAGGATAATAAGTGGTGAGGATTTATGCTACTTTTGGATGGATTAGTTGTCTATCTTGGCAGGCTGTTTCTTTACACCAGCAAACCAATATGAGGGAGCTGCTATCCCTTCACTCTTGATCGAGCAAGAGATGAGGTTGGTAAGGTGTTGATCTATCCTGGCAGGCAGGTTCTAAAGATATTTTGCATAAGTTCTCTTACTGTCAAGCTGTCTTTATGCTCCGTAAATATTACACCATGCTCTAAATGAAATTTCTTGTGCGATTAATCAGTATTTTGTGGTAACAATGGAAAAGAAGCCCTGCAAACCAGTCTGATAGGTTGTAGGCACATTCATCAAGCCCTCTACCTTTTCCTATATGTAACTGATGTATGGTATGGAGATAGCGCATGCTTCTGAGATTCTGCTTCAGAGCAGTATAGCAGGCCCCTTGAGGATAGATTTAAATGCATAAATTTGGCAAAACTCACCTCCTAGAGAGCTTTCACATAATCATTTGTACATGAGCACCGAGGGATGTTTGTTTCATGGGAAAGTTCTCTTCAGGAGAGATCTTTCCCAGCAGACCACTGATTCTCCTTGTTTGTTTCATGGGAAACCGGCGGACGCCATGGGAAAGCAGTTTCCCATAAGCACTCTGCCAATGTAATTTCCTAGTGAAGCTTGTCCACAAACTAAATAAGTATGGAAGCACTTTGCCTTGGAAGGGTCTTTCTCATGGGAAAGCTGTCTTAGGGAAAGAACATTCAAAGGGAGCGAACATCCCCTAAAACTGTAGTACCACCCTATGATTCCATCCAGGCTTCTATACCATATACCCCTTAGAATATCTGATATGGCTTGGTAAATGTTTTTATTAATGGATATACTCAACACAAATTTTTTCTGCTTTTTCAATAAAAATCTCTTTCATTTTTCTTTTGTTTCATACTACTTAGTTGACGTAGTAAATAAGCAGTTACTGTCTACATAGATTGCAAATATTTCGATCCATTTGTGTTGACTCTATGTCCTCTATTAATTCATAATTGAGCATTAACCAGTTGGGAGCTTTTTTGGATTTTCTTATGCATTGTTTTTTACCTGCATGCTTCCTACACAGAAAAGTTCTGTTAATTTTTTATTTGGTTTTTCTAAGATGTATTATTTTATTCTTTTGCAGCTATGGGCCATGTCAAACTCCTACTCTAGGTTTTTGTGTCCAACGCTACTTACAGATTACGACATTTAGGCCTGAGAAGTTTTGGTCTTTGCACCCATACATCAGTAAAAGTGGTTATGAACTTCGCCTAGAGTGGGACCGTAGCAGAGTTTTTGATTTAGATGTGAGGTTCTACTTTAGTGAGTTTGACTTAAATTCCATGGTATGCTGTTTCTTGAATTAATGAGATTATTTACAGGAGTTATTTTTTATTTTAATAATTTGCAGGTTACAAAAATTTTTGAAAAGCTGGTGGTTGATGAAGGAAAAGTAAAAGTAATTGGAATATCAACAAAAGAGGAAAGAAAAGCCCGTCCTTTTGGGCTTAATACTGTGAATTTGCTGAAGGTAATACCGTTTGCCATGTTGGTTCTCCTTTACTTCATTGAGGCCTTACAAATCAAGTTATTGGTTTATAAATGGCACTCATTAGAAAATTTAGTAACTTGTGTATACCTGCTATGGTTATGGAATGGCTCTATAGCAAATTCTATGTATACTTCTGCTTCTATGGAATTATCTTATTAATATTTTGGTGACTAATCATTGTTCCTAGGAACTGAATGTCAAGTTTCTTTTATTTAACTCATGTCCATGTCATTAATTTTAATTTAGAAAAAATTAACAGGATTTTGATCCCAAGATACTCTACAAGCAAGGTGGCATGACATGCCTACACCTGACCTTTCCTTTTAGGGTTCGGAGTATCAAATCTGCCATCCATCCTATTAACTTGTATACGTGATTCACACTGATACCATTGAACTTATGCCATCCAGTAGTTAATCCATCTTAAGATCATTTCATTAAGTCAGAGTGGTCCCTTCAATGGTCATGAATTCAAAGCAAGCGAATCCAAAGCAAGCTCTAGTGTATTTTGTGCCCATGGAGAAATTTATAACATCTTAACCAAATGGGGTACCTATAGATTTAATTTGGTCGGTGTCGGAAAAGAAAGGCGTCTCCAGATGCTATATTGACACGGTGAGAGATATGTACGAGGGACGCTAACTAGTGTGCAGACAACTAACTAGAGAGACAAATGAATTTTTAGTGATAATAGGCCAACATTAGGGGTCAGCGTTGAGCCCATGTCTTTTTTGTTTTTGTTATGGACGAGTTAACTAGGAACCTACAAGATGAGGTACCATGGTGTATACTATTCTCGAATGACATAGCTTTAATTGATGAGACTAGCAGCGGTGTCAATGCAAAGTTAGAACTTTGTAGGGATGCTCTAGAATCTGAAGGTTTTAAAATTAACCAGACTATGACAAAATAACTGGAATATAAGTTTAGTAATAATAAGAGTAGAAACGAGACCAATAAATACCTAAAATAGAGTATTTTCTATAGCTTGGTTCAATAATGTACAAAAATGGAGAGATTGAAGAAGATGTTATACATAGAATGAGAGTTGGGTAGGTGAAGTGGAGATGTGCGTCCAGAGTTTTATGTGATCGTCGCATACCAATGAAGCTGAAGGGAAGTTCTATAGGACAACTGTGAGACCAACTTTACTTTATAGGATGGAATGTTGGGCGGTCAAGAAATAACATACTAGCTGAGATGAGGATGTTGAGATGGATGAGTGGCAAGACATGAAAAGATAGAATTCGAAATGAATACATTCGAGCGAACTTAGGTGCGGCTTCAATAAATGATAAAGTGAGAGAGTATACTTATGTGGGCGGGCCATGTGCAGTGTAGACTCAATACAACACCATTTAGGAGGCACGATTTGGTTCTAAGTGGAAGGCTCTTAAAGGGCAATGAGAAAGCCCAAAAGGATGTGGATGGAAGTAGTGAGAAAAGACACGGAACTTATGGTTTTACTGAGGATATGGCCCTTGATATACCAGAATGGTGGAATATGATTCATGTAGTTGACACCAAACAGTTGGGATAAGGCTCTGATGATGGTGGTGATGATAATAATGTATTCAATTGTTTGGAAGTTTGTGTTTCTTCTTTCCCAACTCAGGTCTAAATATGAAAGCAATGCACCCGAAAATATACCAGCTTTTTTTTTTTTTTGTTGGTTAGTTCAATGGTAGGATTTGAACTTTGGAATGTGGTGTTGCAAAAATCAACATCTTGACCACTCTATCCCAAGCTCAAAACCTATGTAGTTATTACTTCAAGGCAGCCTTAATTGGTTTATTTTTTTAAATCTCATTTATATAGCTAAGACACAATTGTTCCAAGATACCACATAGAAACTATTTTATAAAAGGATCGATGACCAATACAAACAACTGACCTACAGTGCTTGTATCTTCAGCTTGTCCTCTTATGTTTTGGTATTGTAAGAATTGTCATGAACATTTTGTCATCAATTCAAAGTTTTTTGTCGTCGCCCTTGTGGTAAGATTGGCATGCCACATGTGAATGCCCCATGAAGGTGGGGATTATGATTTGGAAGGAAACCTTTTCATGTTTTGAAAGCTAAAGGAAATGCATATGCTATGATTTTGGACTCTTCTGTACCTGTTTTTCCTTCATATGAGGGAAGTGAATGCAAATGCTGATGCATTAGCCAGTGAGGGTGTTGAGTGCAATGAACATTTAGTTGTGTTGTCTTCTCCTTGACCACTGAGATGCTGCCTTAGTATCTCCATGGCATTTTCAGGACTCGTGGGAGAATTATTTCAAGTGAACAAATTGTTTAACCATAACTTGATAAAAAAATGCATGTAAAATGCATGGGAAACATCATATGGCAGAAATAATTATGGGAAACTTGTGTGAAATTCTTTTGAAGCATTTGTGAAATATGTGAAAGATGCTAATGTGTAATAAAATGTTTGTGAAGCATGCAGATAATTACTGTGAATGCCCATTAAGCATTTGTGGACTGGTGAAACTTTCAATTATTTTCCCAATTTATGGAGTTTATAAATTTCTTGTTATGAGACCCTGGGCATTCCAAGTTACCTTGTTCAATGCAGGGATTTCACTAAAACTTACTCCACTAATACATTGTTATTGATCTTTTCCGGTAGTTTTGGGTTAGTTTACCATACTACGTGAAAAGAATATTTCGACTTTGTGTTGTGAATATTTATTCTCTTCTAAAATTTCTTAGCAAGGTGTTCCCAGTTTTTTATATGTGAACGAGAGTTAAATGTTTGGTTTAACCCATGGGATGTATTAACTTAGGGCATAAGTTTCCAAGAAACAGTTATGTTCTCTAGTTCTGTTGTGCTTTCTTTTTCTTTTTTCTTACTCAATTGTTTGAAATTCTCAACGATAATAATCCGACAGCTGCTGTAGATTGTTGCAAGTGAATGCATGAACCTAGTTATGCTTAGCATACTCTGTGTTCTCTATTTACTTCAGGTTGCTTCCAGTGCATTAGGCCTTGGACCACATCAAGCTATGCAAATTGCTGAGCGGTTGTACACTCAGGGTTTCATCAGGTTTTCTTCGTTTTGATTGTTGCATGGTGATCAGATTTTTCTTTTCAGAAAATATAAATTACTAACTAAAGATTGTGCTATGTTTCTAAACAGATTCTCTGTATCATGAACACAAGACTGGCTTCTATATGCATTATGCTTGTTGATGGCTTCCAATTCTAATTAATTGGGCATGGTTATCCAAAACCTAACTTGCATAAGTAATTGTTGCCCATTTCATTAATACTATTTTGTGGAAGACAAGACTACATTATGCATGGCACATGTTGATGACTTGCAACTTATAAATAGTTAGGAGTGGTAATATCCAAAACAGATTTGTTAACTAGACAAATTTGCAGGTAGAATGTTGCGGTATGTGGCCTTTAAAGGCCTTGAAAGCATGTAAAAACGATGACTATAAGTAATAATGTACTCTAGGTAGCATTGTTTAAAAAAACGGTCCACCCAGCGCCTAGGCACCCGCCTAGGCGTTTTTTAACAAAAAATCGCACGCCTCATGAAAAGGCGTCCGAAACGGGCGTTTTTACCTGGGCGGGCGCCCAGTGCCCAGGTCTAAGTGGGCGCCTAGGCGGGCGCCCAGCGCCCAGGTATGGGTAGGCGCCCAGTGAAGTCAGGCAGAAATTGCTTTTTAAATTCGCCCAAAAGGGCAGAATAGGTCATTTTGACCCCCAAGTTTGTATAAAAAAGTTATGGGGTTTATTTTTGAACTCCCAAAGTGAAACGTATGTTACGAAATGGAATAAATTACAAAATTTGACACAAATATATGCATATATGTACATTAGGATAGCAAATATTTTTAAAAATGCTATGATTTTCCACTACAGAGATAAAAATGGATGAGTTTCCACTACAGGGCGCCTGAGGATCTAGGCACCCGCCTAGGGGCCGCCTAGCGTTTTTTGATACCTTGCTAGGTAGAGTGTGGTCCATTTAGGACTAGAGAGGCATGCTTCATAGTGCCTGTTGACTCACTTAGGTTGGACAGTCTAAGCTTGGGAGTTGAGTCCAAAAGCCTTTGGCTCTGGGCATTAGGCACACCCGTGGAAGGTTTGTAGGGTTGTCCCTTTGAGTTTGGAGAGATACCCAGGGTGGATTGGCCAGGAGTTGGCCAATCTCCTATGTGTAGTTGGTGCCTTGTGAGGGAAAGGGCCAAAATCCCAACATTACCACCACATGACATGTACGTATGATAGCCTTATCTATGGGAAATGACATGCAAGAGTAATACATGTACATGTGCTGTAGAGAGGCTATTGCGATAACGTGCACATGTCTATGTATGATATAACTTGTAGTTCAAACGCTAGACCCATGTTTTCTCTATTTATTGGCCACATTTGATGAGTCAAACATGAGCCCCTGCGATTTGATTGTGGATCATGGGTTCTGTGGGGTTGGTTTGAGGATATAGGTTTTGGACCTCGGGAACTATTATAAGTGGAGTCCTTTCTAATTTTGCAAATTCTTGACTTGATGGATCCAATGCTTTTTTAATAATGTTTATTTATGTTTTGGAAAATTTATTAATCGCGAAAATGAATTTTTAATGTGCATTACATGTTTTATTTTTCCATCATAATTTTTTTAAAAAATTATATATTTTTTAGCATTTAAAAGTTATACTAGAGGGGTTTAAAAATTTGTATCAGGTGCTTAACATAATCTGTGACTCATGTGGGGCTCAGTGGCTAAGCATGGGCCACTAGGGCTCCTAGGCCAACAACTCCCTCTCTTTCCGCTTCTTTTTCTTGTTTGACCAAGTTAAGTTGGTTATTATCTTGGATAAGTTTGGAAAAATTAGGAAAGATGAGATAAGTGTTTTAGAAGGTTTTGAAAGTTTCTAGGTGATTTGTGAGAACGAAAAATCTTTTGGATAAGCATCTTATCTTTTTAGAACTAAGTGAATGGGTCAAGGAAACTAGGGGATAAGGGTTTTAGATCTTTCTCTCTATCATGATGGCTGATTTAGTGAATAGAGGGTTGAGATTAGAAGCCAATCTTCACCCCTCAGATCACCAAGGATCAATAGTCGAGATTGAATCTCATAAAAGATGGTTAACCCTAAATCTGGACACCACTATAAATATAGGGGTTAAAGGAGTGACTATGTGGAATTCAAAGTAATAAATTTAAAAGTTTTCTTTTTATTTATTTTTAATATACCTGAATTCCACATACATAGGCCACTATGCACTGCTGTAAATCCAATTTAAAACCGTAAACACAATCTAAGATCTTTACTTTTATTGCCAAAACAAATATATACCATTCAAGAGCCATAACCAATCGTCCACTATGAAATTACGAAATATGGTCCTGAAAATTCATAGAAAAATATAAAATATGATAGAAAATAGATTAAATCAGCTGGGAAGACTTACTAGAAGATGCCTGGAGTTATCCTCACATATATTGATACACCCCACACCCGATTCCTTGATTGATGGTGCACTTTTAATCCTTTAGGTCTTGTTGGAATTTCTGAGATCAGGAAGCTTTATAAGCAATACCTTTCAATCTAGCGTTTTAGTGAGCTAAAAAACTCTACTAACATTTGTAGAAACCCTAGAGGAACAAATTAGAGCTAAGGTTGAGGTTTATTTCTCTCTTAGCTGGCTGTACCTCTCTTCTTCTTCAAAACCAGCAGTGTCCTTACTAAGGGTTTTAAAGTGCCACTTCCCTTTCTCTTTCTTTTTGGGTGGCGGAAAGGGGAGAGGGACATGATTCAAATTGGGAAGAGAGAGAAATATGGTGCGTGAAGGAGAAGAGAGAGATGGGTTCACTTTTCTTGGCTTGTGAGAGAGAGAAATATGGCTTGAGGGAGGTTTTTTTTTTTTTTTGTGTGTGTGTGTGTGTGTGTGTGTGAGAGAGAGAGAGAGAGAGAGAGAGAGAGAGAGAGAGTAGTAGTAGTAGTAGTAGTAGAGTAGTAGTAAGTAAGTTAAGTAAGTAAATAATACGTACGTACCTACGTACGTAGTAGTACTACTACTACGTAGTAGT